CTCACGTCTGTAATCCCAGCACTTTGGGAGGCCAAAGTGGGCGTATCGCTTGAGGTCAAGAGGTTGAGACCAGTCTAGCCAACATAGTGAAACCCCATCTCTATTAAAAATACAAAAATTAGCCAGGCGTAGTGGTGGGTGCCTGTAATTCCAGCTACGCTGGAGACTGAGGCAGGAGAATCGCTTGAACCTGGGAGGCAGAGGTTGCAATGAGCCGAGATTGTGCCACTGCACTCCAGCCTGGGTGATAGCGTGAGACTCAAAAAAGGAAAAAAAAAAAAAAAAAAGGAAAGAAAGAAAAGCAAGTGAGATGGCAGTCACAGTCATGCCTGGCCCTCCCACTAGGAGGCAATGCAGCACAATGAGAAGGGTATTGGAGTCCCTGGTCCTAAATCCTGGTTAGGCGCTGTATGCCTTTGAGCAATTCATGCCCTTAATCTCCCTAAATCCTGGGATTCCCCCCTTTAATCTTCCCAGGCTGGAAAATGGAAGGGCCCAGTTCTGAATATCACTCAGTTCCGAGGGAGAAAAGCTGACACTCCAGTGAGCGCTGGCAGCGCCCCCACAGGATTCCATGAGGCAATGTATGCAAAGTGCTGCCTTGTACAGGCTCCGGGCGCTTCTTCCTCCAGTGAGTTTGCACTCCAGGCAATATTTAGTAACGTCTGTAAACCTTTTTTGGTTGTCACACTTGCGGGGGTGGGTTCCACTGGCATCTAGCAGCTGGAGGCCAGGGACACTGCTTCAGCACCCTACACTGTACAGGACAGCCTCATAGCAAGGAATGAACTGGCCTGCAGTGTCGGCAGTGCCCAGCCTGGGAATCCCCGGCCTACTCTCAAACACTTTTGAGCTCTTAGAAAGCAGAAAAATGTGTCTCGTTTTGTTGTTGTTGTTGTCGTTCTTGTGTTTTGAGACAGGATCTCACTCTGTTGCCCAGGCTGGAGTGCAGTGGCGCGATCACAGCTCACTGCAACCTCGACCTCCCGGACTCAAGCAATCCTCTTGCCTCAGCCTCCTGAGTAGCTGGGACCACATTGTGAGCCACCACGCCACCACGCCCAGCTACTTTAAAACATGGAGTACAATGGCACTATCTCGGCTCCCTACAACCTCCGCCTCCCAGGTTCAAGCAATTCTCCTGCCTCAGCCTCCCAAGTAGCTGGGATTACAGGCACCCACCACCACACCCTGCTAATTTTTGTATTTTTAGTAGAGACAGGGTTTCACCACGTTGGCCAGGCTATTCTCGAACTCCTGGCCTTAGGTGATCTGCCCACCTCGACCTCCCAAAGTGCTGGGATTACAGGCGTGATCCACTGAGCCCGGTTTAGGTTGTTATCTTTGAATACTTTGGGGACACTCATGTGGATGAGGGCCTGGCCTTGTCCCGTGTGGCCTTCTAGAAGGCCCAGTGCGCTAACGGGCCTGCTGTGAGGCATGCTGGGTCTTCAGAAGGCAGCCTGGCAGGACAAGTGGGAGGTTCTAATTACACTGTGGGGGCTCCCGTGTGACAGTTAACAGCAGTGCCAAGTCTGGGCCAGGTTGGGCCAATAACTGGGGGGCAACCTACCCTGTGGGCAAGGCCTTGCAGAGGAGGAAGTTTGGGCCAGAGAATACCTGCTGCCCTCTGGTGGTGTCTTTTTTAAAAAGGAATTTGGCTGGGTGGGATGAGCCCACACCTGTAGTCCCAGCACTTTGGGAGGCCACGATGGGTGGATCATCTGAGGTCAGGAGTTCAAGACCAGACTGGCCAGCATGGCGAAACACCATCTTTACTAAAAATACAAAAATTAGCCAGGCTTGGTAGCAGGCACCTGTAATCCCAGCTACTTGGGAGACTGAGACAAGAGAATCATTTGAACCTGGGAGGCGCAGGTTGCAGTGAGCCAAGATCATGCCACTGCACTCCAGCCTGGGTGACAGAGCGAGACTCCATCTCAAACAACCAACCAACCAAGCAAAGGAATTTATGGGCTCACATTTTTATAGGAAGCCGAGTTCCATTTTGGCCACATGGTATTTGAGGTGACATTGACACCTGGGGGCCTCGTCCAGCAGGCAGCGGGCTTCATGGGCTGGGTCCGTAGGAAAGAGGACTCCCTGGAGAGATGGAGCCAGTTCCACCTTGGTAAGCATGGAGAACTGCACGTAGAGGGTGGATCCAGGACCAAGCCCTGGGATCCCCCTTATTAAAGGGGTGCACGGGGAAAAAGGAACCAGGAAGACAACCAGGAAGAAATGTCATGGAGGAGGAAGAGGAGAGCCACGAGACAGATGAGTCACAGAGACTAAGGGAAGCAGACCCAGGAAGGGATGCATGACCCACGCGTCACATGCAAGGAGATGGAGGGTGTGATTGGGGCCACGATGCTGACTGCTCACGCTTATGGAGCTCTCACCATGCTCCAGGCTCTGCTCTAAGCTCTGAGCGTCCTCACAATCACCCCTGGATGTCTGTCCTATGATGGTCCCGTGTTACAGATGAGGACACCAGCTGGTGGCTGGTGAAAGGCCTGTTGGAGGCAGCTGAGGCTGTGCCAAAGGTACCATCTGGGCCCCGGATTTCTGTTGGAGAACCACCTTCCCTTTTCCTCAGTCAATAGACACAGGGCTTTGATTGATCTACATGAATTGGCAGATTCCATCCCAAGTCCCACCAGTCTCACTGATGCGTTCAGGGATGTTCACGTGACCTAAATCAAGTCAGTGAGATCCACGCCCAAGACTTTGAGAGAGAAGAGCTCTATTTCTTTTGTGCTGAGCTTAAAGCTGAGATGGTGAAGCCTGGAGCTGCTGCAGCCATCTTGCAGGCACGAGGGGTAAACCTGTCTGAGACTCGGGACAGCACAAGTCGGGAAGTGCAGCTGTGTTCAGCCACAAGAGAGTTGGATGACAATGTGACTGTACCTGAAGCCGACATTACCCCTGAACTTTACCATTAGTAAACCAATACGTTCCTTGCCTGCCTCACTGGTTTGGGTTGGTTTATCTAGTTTGCCTCACTGGTTTAGGTTGTCGTTAAATGAAAGCAAACTATACCAGTTATCTATGGCCACAATTAAGCTTTGTAAGAAACCACAGAGACTTTGCAGCAATTGAGCTTATGAGACTGGATCAGTGTTTAGGCTGGACTTGACTAGGCAGTTTTTCTGCTGTCAGCCGGGCTCACACACGCTGGTCAGCTGGGATGAGTGGGAAAAGCAGGCCACGTGTAGAGGCCACCATGGCAAACATTTGAGTCACTGTTGATGTTTTGCCTCTACAAGCTCTTGGCCATCTAGGATAGGAATTTGGAAAGTGGTTGGTGAAACTGATGCAGGGTTGGGCTTTTCTGCAAATATCTCAGAGAAACAGAATTACAAGAAATGCATGCGTATGAGAGAGGCTAGTTTGTTGCAGATCATCTCTCCCTTCCGGTTTGTGTGCTGTTTCCTTGGGATTAGGTCCAGGTGGTTAATTTTTGGCTGCAGACCTCACAGGTGCTGTGGGGTCCTTTTACAGATGTGGAAAATGGGTATAATGGGGAGCGACATCTTTTAGCTCAGAGTCTGGCACAAAATAGGCACTTAATCAATGTCTCTAAATACTAATGATGATGATGATGATGATGATGATGATGATGATGATGATTCACCATAGGAGGTGATTTAAGGGTTGTTAACTTCATCTTAAACGGCATGTGGGTCACTACTGCCCTCTTCTGGATAGGTAGGGTGTCTACATCTTCTCCACTTCCTCAAGCCTGTGGAATTCAGCCCCCACTCCATCCCCTCTCCAAGTACCTGCAGCAGGTACCTTTATGGGCTTTGTGAGTGTGGTCAGAAGCCCAGGCAGTCCCAGCCTCCAGGTGTCAGACTGACGCATGTGTGACACTTTGCGAGTGTTCAGAAAACATGAGCCCTTGCTTTGGCCACCAGGACTGCAGTCACGCCTCCTCCCATCTCTGGGCCTCCATCCTCTCTGTCTAACATGGAGGTTGCACAGCCACCCCACAGGGGACCATGGCAGAGCTCAAAAAGCGTCTGTTGCCGGACGTGGTGGCTCACGCCTGTAATCCCAGCACTTTGGGAGGCCGAGATGGGAGGATCACGAGGTCAGGAGATCGAAACCATCCTGGCTAACACGGTGAAATCCTCTCTCTACTAAAAATACAAAAATTAGCCGGGCGTGGTGGCCGGCGCCTGTAGTGCCAGCTACACAGGAGGCTGAGGCAGGAGAATGGCGTGAACCCCGGAGGCGGAGCTTGCAGTGAGTGGAGATCGTGCCACTGAGCTCCAGCCTGGGCGACAGAGTGAGACTCCGTCTCAAAAAAAAAAAAAAAAAGTCTGTTCCCACCACCTCAGATTCTCTTTAGGACACACACAGGGGACTCCCAGGACAACTCCAGTGTCCACCCGGCCCAGAGGAAGCTCCTTGGAAGTGCCCACATCCCAAGGCTCCAGGTGCTGTCCAAGCGCAAGTCCAAGGTCGGCTCCATGGGACGGAGATACCTGCTCCTGGGAGTCCAGAGGACCTGGTGCTGAGAGTCCAGACCCAGAATCGACACGGCTGTGACCTTGGATGAGGCATTTAGAACTCAACAGGAAAAACTGCTGAGGCAGGAGCACTTCTTTTGATGCTCCAGAGCAGAACTGGAGAACCACTCCCTCTCTGCAGAGGCACCAGCGCCTTCATCCAGATCCCCAAAGGGGTCCCTGCCCACTGCAGGAGGGTGGGCGTCCCCAGTCCTAGGAGCCTGGCTCACTTCTGCTTCCTTTTGCCAGACCTCGGCCCAGCATCTTCCACTTCCCAGCTGCTTCCACCTGCGGCTGGGGGACACTTCGTCCCTAAGTGAAGGTGCTCCCTGCAGCCCCCTCACCCCACTGGCCATCCAGTCCTCAGGAAGGTCTTGCACGCCATGGATCCAGAAGCAAGGGTGTCTTTAGCAAGACCAGAGACACCTCCTCCCACCCCTCCCTGCCCCAGAGCACCCACAAACCAGCCACATACGCACACAATTCAGACTTTGTAGCTGTTTTTATTATTAATATTATCTTCTCCTTTAAGCATCCCTTTAAGGGTGAAATGAAATCCAACCATTTACAGAGAAAATGATTTCAGAATGTACATATTGATTTTCCCTTACAAAAAAAAAAAATACTATTATTGATGTCCTTAAATTATACATTTCCCAGGGTCCTGCCTTCTGCTTGGGCAAGTCCTGTCTCCCCACCCGGACTCTCCCTCTTGCCCCCAAAGCTCTCCCATGCTGCCCCGGGAACCGACGTGACCCATGGGTGGACAGGGCCGGCCATGCTTCCTGGATGCTTGGCATGGACAGGCCTCCTTGGGTCTAGGGGTCTCAGGGCCAGTTATTCCCGGGGAGAAGCGTGGACATGGGACATGGCAGCAGTGGTCACATTCAGCTTGGTTTCCCTTTGTACTGAGGGAGTGGCCCTGGGTTCCTCTACCTCCACCAGATTCCCAGTGTATGCTGTGATGATATGTGAAACTCTTCAACCCCGCGCCCTGGCCTCCACCCCTCTAACAGCTGTCCTCTCCACCAGTGGCCAGGCCTTCACTCCTGCTGCTGTAAACAGGCCCTGCCCCACCAGGTCTGCGAGGAAGGCAGGGACTGGCAGCTCTGAGCTGCTCCTGTCTTCCTTCCCTTAGCCCTGAGCTGGTGCCCTGGAGGGGCATCCCCACAGCAACTGAGGGTGCCAGGGGTGTGGAGTGAGGAAGCTGCCAAGGAGGGAGGCCCCAGGCTAGCGCCTGGGCATGATCAGGAGCCGTGAGACTCCCTGTCCGTGGGATGCAGCCTGGCCTGGATTGACCCAGAGCCACAGGGACCCTGACTTCTTGAGCCACCTCTCGGCCCCAAGAGGAAACAGAAAGGAAGGCTGCTGTGACTTCAAAGGAGGAGTTCCATGGGGGCAGTCCCCTAGATGGGAGTGAAGTGGCTCAGAGCCCCTCAGCCCACTTCACGCTTGCCCACCAGTGGCTGCTCTGAGGCCAGCCCCCCACACCATGCCCTCACTGGGCACTTAACCCAGACAGAGCTGTGGCAAGGAGATGCCCTCCTCTTCTGGCCCATCAGGAAACCCCCAACAATAAGACAACCGGAGATGGCCCCACTGGAGGTGGGGGAGGGGACGGGTGGGATCATGTGGCTGGGGCTGAGAGGGGCTGGGGAGGTAGTGGGCTCTCAGCTGCACAGCCCTCAGGTCAGGAGGATTCTCATTCCTCAGACTGAAAGACAGACAGACGGACAGACCCTGCATCCCCTTTAGCTTTGCCTTCTAGGCTCCCCAAGGGCTTTCCGCCTCAGTCATTTTGGGGAGCTGCAGGAGGGGTGGCCACAGGCCTGACGAAGGACACCTGGGCCTGGCCTCCCCCATCCACACACAAGCATGTATTTACAGGGACACAGCAATACAGACATGTACAAATACACACCAAGCATGCACCCATGCCCATAAATATACACACACACACGCACAAACATGAGCCATTCCACAGGCCAGCTCTGCAAACCAGCATCATTGGGTAGCCTTTGAGGGGCCGAGGGGAGAGGGCGTTTCCCCTTCCCACAGAGCTGCAGGCTCCTCACTGCCCCCCGCCCTGGGCTGCACAGTGAGGGGAACAGGAACAAGCTATTCCGGAAACTCTGACAATGAGAGCGGGATCTGATGACTGAATTATTGCTGCCCCCTCCCCCTCTCCCAGAGATGCTACTGGTCCCCCATAACCATTCTCTTCTTCTCTATCAATAAGAGAACTCCCAAGGTGAGGCCAGACACATGGCGGCCGCACTGAAGACTACACTTCCCAGGTTCCCTTGCAGCTGCTTGTGGCCATGTGGCTGAGTCCCAGCCAATGAGAGGCCAGCAGAGGTGAGCCTGCCAATTCTGGCTTATGCCCTTAGCAAAAAGTGGGTGTGCCCCTCTTGCCTATTTCTGCTTCCCTCAGACTTGGATGCTCACAGGAGGGTTGGCGCTGGAGCAGCCACTGTGTACCCAGAATTGGAAGGTGCCTATGAAGAACCATAGCAGCTCTGGGCCATCTCAGTCTAGACTAATTAGAAACAAGCTTCTGTCTTGCTTAAACCACTGTATTTCAGGGTCTCTTAATCACAGCAGCTTAGACTCAATTCCAACAAAGACATCTCGACCAAGGCAAGCTATGAGAAATAGGAAGCATACAACTGGCCTTATTGTCCCTTCTTGGGCCCAAGGCAGCCTCATGGCCCCTTCCTGGCCCCCAGCCAGCCTGTCCCAAGGAGGGGCACAATAGTGACTGCAGCTGGGACTGGGTGTCAGAAGGAAGGGGTGATGGGGAGGGAGAGACGGATCCGTGCAGAGGCCTCATGTCAGTCTTCTCCTTCCCAATTCCCCCTCAAGGCCCCACTTACAACTGGACTCCTGGCCTTGCAAGGACTGAGTGCACAGTCCACAAGACAGCAATGTAAAAACGGGAGAAGGAACGTCAAGGCCCGGTTTGGAACCCAAAGGAAAGCTCCTCAGGATTCTCCAGGCCCCTGTGTTGGCTTACGACAACCTGAGGGGAGCAGAGAGACAGACTCAGGGCAGCCAGGTCCTGTCCTTTGTGGCAGGCGGTGGAGTTCTGTCTCCCTCTGGCCCAGCACTTGACAACACTGCAAAGCATCCCTCAGCAACTCCTCTTGGTAGGATGTGGTTTTTCATCTCTTCCCTCCCAGGCGTCCATGCTTCCCCCTGGACCCAAATGCATCTACTTGGGGAGCCCTGGGTCCTCCTGGCAGGCGGGTCTCCCACACCTAGCCCAAGACCCAGGGATGCCAAATGGTGGGCTTTTTTCCTGGTCTGGCCACGCCCCAGAGGCTGCCTGGTGGGACCCTGCAGGCTGTCTTCCCCAGCCCTGCCTGCCGTCCCCCGCTACCCAGGGACCACCACACACACTCCAGTGGCACCTCCTGGCCACAGCCACAGCAGTCTTGGCAGTCAGAAGGGCCACCCAGCCATCACGGCCTGCGCCCTCTCCCAACAGGAGGGATGTTTTCTGAGCTCAAAGACCTGACCCTTGATTCACAAGGGTGAAGTAGGGAAACCCTACCCCCACTCCCACTCCCCACCCACTCCTGGTCCTCTCAAGAACCACGGAGCTGGCAGGAGGCAGGGAGATAGCGCTAGGGGCCGTCGCCACCCCCGCCCTGCCACGAGCCCTATCAGATCATGCAGCCCTAGCCTTCGGCCTCATCCAGTTTGCCCCGGGCGGGCAGCCTTCCCTCCGGACCCCTGTGGCGCCGCCCTCCTGCCGCCGTGCTCCTGGGCTCCTGGTAGGGGTTGTCCAGCAGGTAGCGGAACTGGTCGTAGTTCTTCAGCAGGTACTTGGGCGCATACATGTGCTCGCTGGGGTCCGCGGGCGGGTACTCCTGCTGCGTGCCGTCGAACCAGCCCCCGGTGCGGATCAGGCCGCGGATGTAGTTCAGGTCCCGCTTGTCCTCGTAGTCACCCCAGCGCGGGAAGTCACCATTCTGGGCGGACACGAGCTTGAAGTAGATGCCCTCGGGCGTGAAGCACCAGGAGCAGTGCCAACCGGCGAAGTGCAGGGGGCTGCCCAGCGACCACTGCACCAGGATGTGGCCGGTGCGGTTCTCGTACTGCCTGAAGTTGGGCATGGTGTAGTACTGGCGGCGGCGCAGGCGGATGCCGTCCAGCCCGTACACTGCCTGCAGCATGTCCACCGTGCAGCCCGACACCACCTCCAGGGTGCCCGGCTGCTTCCAGAAAAAGCCGTAGAGTGACTTGCGCATGTGGAAGGCGAAGGGCTCGGTCCAGCCGTCGTAGAGCTTGAGGAAGAGGACGCCGTCCCGGGCCGGGATCTCGTCCGCGTCGTCAATGATGAAGACGTCGTCGGGCCGCAGGTTGCGCAGCCGCGAGACGCCGTCCTGGGTGAGGAAGGTGCGCAGGTAGTCGTCGGCGATCCAGCCGTCCTGCCGGCCGCCGGGCGGGAAGTGGTCCAGGAAGACATAGAGCACCTTGTGGCGGATGTACTCGAAGGTGCCGTTGGTCAGCATCTCCCGGAACTTGAGTGGCCGCGGCTCCCCGTAAGCTGTGAAGTTGGACTCACACACCACGAAGGCGTCCACCACGTCACCCAGCTCGTGGAAGCGCACGTCCAGCAGGTCGAACTCGTGGTTGACGTTGATGGCATTGATGACGCGGCGCGGCACCTCCCTGGGCACCAGCCGCTCCTTGGTGGGCAGGTTGGAGTACTGCACCACGGTGGGCACACCGCAGCTGGGTCCATGCCAGCCGGGCAGGCACACGCACTCCACCCACTTGCGCCGCGCGCCCCGGCCGCCCGTGCGCTCCCGGGCGCTCAGCAGGTACCGGGGTGGGCGCCGGGCCGAGGAGCCGTTGGCCCCCTCGGGCTTCTCCTCCGGCCGTCCTGGGGGCGGCCTCTCCAGCATCTTGGTGCCGGGTTTGAAGCAGACGCCGCCAGCCTTGGTGCGCACGAAATACTCGGTGGTGTCCTCGGGCAGCACGAAGTCCACCCGGTGGAGTTCCTCCGCCGCCTTGCTGGGCGGTAGCGGCTGCAGCAGGGGCGAGTGCGAGTAGAGCGGGGTGCGCAGCAGGTCGGGGTCTCCTGGCTCGGGGCTGGCCTGGGGCGTGACCGGCGCATTGTTCCAGAAGAAGCTGGACACCAGGTTAGGGCTGAGGGAGGCCAGTTCTCGGGGGAAGGTGACATAGGACAGGGTCTTGAAGAAGTGCAGGAAGGAGATGAGGCACAGGCCGGCCATACAGAACATGAGAAAGAGCTTGTAGCGTCTCATTTTCATCCTGTGGGAGAGAGAGACAGCAGACCCATCAGGGCAGCCCAGGCTCCTTTCCTAGGAAGGGGACCCTAGGAGGCCTCTGCTGTCACCTTGCTGGAGAATGTGGTGGCCAGCACCTGCTGCCCCTGCATGGAGTGACCTTCTGCCCCCAAGAGACAGCTCGCGGTACCAAGGCCCCTGAAAGCTCTAGCACTGAGGACACCCCTGTGCTCCCACACCCCTTCCCTGAGACCCCCAGGCCACCACCGTGCCCCCTTTGCAGCCTGCTCCTCCGCCTGGCCCACCCCACCCTGACTGTATGGCTGCTCTGCTAGACTTGGCTCCAGGAGCAAAATGCACCCTGGGAAAAGCTCAACCCGCAGTGCAGACACTGCCGGAGGAAAGGACAGCGAGAGCAGGCTGCAGGTTGCCCTCCCAGGTCCTGTCCCTCCTCTCCTATCTTCGTTTTTATGGACATACTGACAAACCTTTTGAATACTTTTTCACTGAAAAAACTCACAGCTCTCAAGGGAAAACACTTATTCTAACATATTTAAGGAATAAAATTAGGCCAGGCATGGTGGCTCACGCCTGTAATCCTAACACCTTCCGAGGCTGAGGCAGGAGGATCGCTTGAGCCCAGGAGTTTGAGACCAGCTTGGACAACATAGTGAGACCCCATCTCTACAGAAAATTTAAAAATTAGCCAGGTGTGGTGCCATGTGCCTGTGGTTCTAGCTACTCAGGGGGCTGAGGTGGGAAGATCACTTAAGACTTCGAGGTTGAGGCTGCAGTGAGCCATGATTGCACCACTGCACCCCAGGCTGGACAACAGACTGAGCCACCGTCTCAAAAATAAAATAAAATAAAATAAAAGTTCCCCTTCATTATCCCATGCCCTTTACTAATCTCCAGGCATAAAAATTTGAGGTCGGCCAGTGCAGTAGTTAATGCCTATAATCCCAGCACTTTGGGAGGCCGAGGTCGGTGGATCACAAGGTCAGGAGTTTGAGACCAGCCTGGCCAACATGGTGAAACTCCGTCTCTACTAAAAATACAAAAATTAGTTGGCTGTAGTGGTGCATGTCTGTAATCCCAGCTATTCGGTAGGCTGAGGCAGGAGAATTACATGAACCCAGGAGGTGGAAGTTGCAGTAAGCCAATATTGCACCATTGCACTCCAGCCTGGGCAACGAGAGCAAGACTCCACCTAAAAAAATAAAAAAAATAAAAAAAATTTGAGGTCTATCTCTGGCTTTATATGCAATTTTTCTATTCTGGGTTTAATATTTTTCACAAATATTACCATACAGGACACTAAGTCTAACGAAGTTGTTTTCCTCAATCAATGATAGATTTAAAAGATTTTGGTATCAGTAGAAATAAATGTACCAGTTCCTTTTAAATCCCACATATTACATGGCTATTGTGAATAAATCACTCTGTATCATGACTCATGATATAATCATTTGCTATACATTTATACAGTTTGATTTATCAATTCGTTTATGGTTGTGGGATGGAAATGCTTGTATATTCTTATTCTCCAATTTAAATAAGTTTTTTTTTTTTTTTGAGACAGAGTCTCGCTGTCGCCCAGGCTGGAGTGCAGTGGTGTGATCTGGGCTCACTGCAAGCTCCGCCTCCTGGGTTCATGCTCATTCTCAACACCCCCTCAGCTCGGTACTGCGGACTACAGCCGCGCCACTACACTGACTAATTTTTTAGTATTTTTTCGTAGGATGGGGTTCACTGTGTTACCAGGCGGGTAGAACTAATCTCCTGACCATCGTCCGCATCCACCAACACCTTCTGGCCATCCACAAGTGGCTGGGGCGATTACCAGGCGTAAGAGCCACCGCACCGGGCACCATTATTTTTTTTTTTTTTTTTTTAACGCAGAGTCTTGCTCTGTCGCCCAGGTGAATGCAGGTGCGTCTCTTGCTCATGCGAGCCTTCTGCCTCAACGCGCATAACGACTTCTCCGCCTCGCCTCAGTACCTAGGGATTACAGGCACCCGACCACTCAGGTGATCCGCACCATCTCGGCTCACTAAAGTGCTGAGAATTACAGGTGTGAGCACGTGTGCCCTGGCACATATGAATACGACTTTTAATTTTAGAATATTTGTAGATTATCAGAAAAGGTGCAAAGACGACAGCACAGAGGCTTCCTCATGCACTTCACCCTATTGCTCCCAGCTGACACCACCATGGGACATTTGTCACAACTAGGAAAGACATTGGAATGTCACCATTAGCCAAACCCCACACTGGATTTGGATGCCTCGTTTTTTGAATGAGCCGTGCAGCCACAGAGCACCTCCGACTGCAGCCATCCAGCTCATTTCACCCTTGAGTCTAGGCAGGTGGGCAGGCAGGCCAGGAGTTTACATTCATTTGACCAATGAAAATGCTGGGTGGGGCCAAGTGGGACCAGTGACCTGTCCGGGGGGACCCAGTGAGTCACAGAAAAGACTGAGACAGAAACCTTGCCTTTGGCATCTGGCACTGTCCTACCTAGATATTCTTAAAATGTTCCCATCTGTGGCTTCTCTTTATTTTTGATTCTTTCTCTGGGTCATGCTCTCCCCTTCACTTTTTTTTTGAGATGGTGTTTCGTTCTGTCACCCAGGCTGGAGTGCAGTGGTGAGATCCCGGCTCACTGCAACTTCCACCTCTCAGGTTCAAGCAATTCTCTTGCCTCAGCCTCCCAAGTAGCTGGAATCACAGGCATGCACTACCATGCCCCGCTAATTTTTATATTTTTAGTAGAAATGTGGTTTCACATTGGCCAGGCTGGTCTTGAACTCCTGACCTCAAGTGATCTGCCCGCCTCAGCTTTTGAAAGTGCCGGGATTACAGGCATGAACCACCGTGGCCAGCCTCTCTACTTTTTAACTCTGAGGACAGCAAGGTAGGGTGGAAAGATAGGCACTTGGGTTAGGCACGGTGGCTCACACCTGTAATCCCAGCACTTTGGGAAGCCGAGGCAGGTGGATCACCTGAGGTCAGGAGTTGGAGACCAGCCTGGCCAATATGGTGAGGCCAACCGTCACTACTAAAAATACAAAAATTAGCCGGGCATGGTGGTGGGTACCTGTAATCCCAGCTACTCGGGAGGCTGAGGCAGGAGAATCGCTTGAACCCAGGAGGTGGAGGTTGCAGTGAACCGAGATTGCACCATTGCACTCCAGCCTGGGTGACAGAGCAAGAGAGCGAGGCTCCGTCTCAAAAAAAAAAAAAAAAAAAAATCAAGACTCCTCATCATTCTGAACCTTAGTTTCTCCATCTGTGAAATGGGCACAGAGTTCCTGGCATGCAGCATGTGCTCCATAAGCTCTTGTTCCTTTCAATGCTCAAGGCTGGATGCCCCCAATGTAATTTTCTCTAAGCCACATGGTCATAAGGCACAGAATCATAACACGATTGATCTGGAAATTTTAAGGACCATCTCCTCCAACTCTTTCATTTTATAGAGGAGGAAACCAGGACTTAGGGGCCTTCAGGGACCTGCCCAAAGTCACAACAGAGCTGGAGTGTGAACCAGGCAGCTGGACTCTGCACCAGGTGCCCCTCATGGCCTCAGCTTGGTGAGAAGTCCTGAGAAGGCTGGTAAGCAGCAGTCAAGCTGTTGATCCTGACAGGGCAGTGCTTGCCCCATTCGAGCTCAGATATCCCTCCTCTAGTAAACACCTGCCCCCTGGAGCTGCCCACACGGAGTGGGCACAGTTGACTGCAGGCAGGTAGAACAATCTGGGATAGGGGCCTGACCTCTGGTAAATGGTAGATGTCCCAGGGCGGAGCTGGGGCTGTTCTCCACTGGCGTTTGGAAGGAGGGGCTGCCGCTTGATAACATTTTGAAGTGGGTCTTCTGCACTTCATTCTCCATTTTGGATTCCAGCCCTTGTCTGGCAAAGTGAGACCAGTTGGGCTGGACCAGCAGGGTGAGCAAAAGGGGCTAGGAGTTCCTGCTGCAGCCAGGACCAGGCACAAGGCAATACTGCAGCCAGGGTTAGCATGGCGGAAACTTCCAGAGCAAACTACTCATGGGGTTTCAGGACTTGGAAAGGCAGCCTGGATCCTTCTGGTGGGCTATTTTTCTTTTCTTTTTTTTTTTTTTGAGACGGAGTTTTGCTCTTGTTGCCCAGGCTGGAGCGCAATGGTGCAATCTCGGCTCACCGCAACCTCTGCCTCAAGCAATTCTCCTGCCTCAGCCTCCTGAGTAGCTGGGATTACAGATATGCGCCACCATACTGGTTAATTTTGTATTTTTAGTAGAGGTGGGGTTTCACCATGTTGGTTAGGCTGGTTTTGAACTCCTGACCTCAGGTGATCTGCCTGCTGCGATTACAGGTGTGAGCCACTGTGCCTGGCCTTAGTGGGCCATTTTTCTCTACTTGGGACCTGCCTCTGTGGGGGACACTCCAAGTTACACAACTGGTGTAAGCTATGTGGAGGGCATGGCCTGGGGCTGCCATTCAGACTCTAAATCCCCTGGCAGCACGAACAAAGGCTTTAGCAAAGCAAGGTAAGAGGAACTCAGAGAGGCAAGGAAACAGCTTGCTTGGCGTAAAGGGCTTCCGTGGACCTGCTAAGGTCGGATTGACCCAGCTGCCCCTTGGCTGGCTTTCAGGATCTAGTTACTCACAGCCAGCTGTGCCCTTCTGAGCACGGACTCACCAGTGCTTAGGAGCTCCCCTCTGAGTCACTGGAGCCTTCAGGGCAGGGCCCCTTAATAAGGCCTTAGTCTGGCTTGCTGCTGAGAATCAAGGATCTGAGCATGTTTCCCTCATCACTCAGGCTGCTAGGAGGCTCAGAAGCACACAGCCTCAGAAGCACACAGTGGTTAGCCCCGAGCATGTCAACAGCGCCTCACAGACAGCATTTTCTTGGACTCCTTCACTTGCAGCTGCCCGCACAGTTTCAATCCTTTTCAGCTCAATTCCTTTTTGTCTTTTCGTTTTTTTATTGAGACAGCATATAAATAAAATGGAACAAATAAGCACTGGCACTCAGGGTCTC